AAAATAAACGTTTCTTATCCATAAAGAAATTTCATTACCTCTCTATGCAGCTGCCTGTTTTTATTCCATACATTTGACACTGGCTTTAGCATTAGCTACATGAAATAGACATTTTTAATTTCAGGATTTCTTATGTAGAAAATCATGTTGCCAATTAATTTTATAAGCACTATATTAGTTGGAACAAATAAGAAGCATTATAATTTTATAAATCACTATTAATTTAAAAAATGTCTTCTTGCACCAAGTACCTGACCTATAAATGAGTTGTAAAAAAATTAATGTGTTTTTGAAATATAAATACTGAATTAAATAAAAAAATTGTAATTTAACATTGTGGCCACTAATAATATAATGTATTGTTTATTCAAAGTTGATGCATTATCTATCATGTAGGTATTGATATTAACAATAATAAATTCTGTATTTCCTAGTGATATRAACATTTAATTTTACTGTATGATATTTACAATCTAGAATGTAATGTTTAAATAAATATAATTCAATTAATTTATTAATAGCTATAATATTCTGAAACAACAGAATTAAATATGGATAATCAACTTCAAAGTTTGAATTGCATGGATAAAACGATAACTTTACAAATAACATCAGGTTTAAACATTGAAATATAAATTCTAAATCATATTATGGAGTATAAMAAACTGAATTGTATATTATTATTACTTGAAACTTGATTTCACTCAACTATTATTACTATAAATAATATTACAGCCTACAGATTAAAAAAAATGATAAATAATTAATAAATTTGTAAAAATAATATGTGGTAATTAGAAAAAATAAAWATGAGCTGAAACATTATGTTATTTTGTTGTTATGGAAACTACTAACACTGAAATATGCGGTAACGTAAATTTCTAAAAACCATGAAGTTAATAAATTATAATATGACATAACTATAAAACTATTTAATTAATATTATTATTATTAATATATAAGTCATCTTACCAAGATATATATTATTACATAATTGTTGATTTAATAAAAGAGTTTATTTATTCTGATAGTCTGTTTATAACATATTGCAACAGTTTTGAACCTGTGGTCCAAGGCAGCTTTAACACTTAACACAAGTCAATACCTACGTGATATGAGTGCATTATCACAGTATTTTGGGATTATTATTATTATTTTATTTATTTTTTCATATAAAATATATCTTATATTGTAAGAGATAAACCTATGCCTACTTCCTATAACTCGTAATATAAAATAATAATTATATTTTTATGATAGCATACAATGTTTTATAAAAAAAACAGTTATTAGACAAAAAATTGGTAGGGGTCCACAATTTCTAAAAACCTTTTACCAGGAGTCTGTGTTCTACAAAAAGTTAATAACTACTGACATATAACAATCATTGAAATTTATTAACATATTTTAGTTAATAATTTTTTTAATGTAATAATTTAATTTATGAACAAGAAATCTGAAAGAAATTTATCATAAGATATTTAAAAAAATTATTAATATAAATAATAAACATCAATTACTCATATTTATTATTATATCTATGTAATTATGTATGTACAATTTTATTTTTAAGCTTATGGATTCGGTTTGCTTAAAGGATCTATTGTAATACATGCAACGTTCTTGAATAAAAAAAATATAACACCAGAAATTCCAATAAATCAAAATGTATTGAAAATTACCTCAGATATTATATGGTACATGAATAATGCTACTTTGAAAAAGTAAAAATTATTTATTGATTTGCCTACATAATTCTTACTAATAAATTAATATTTTTTGATATTACTTTAGGTCAAAAATGTCTAATACATCGATAAAAATTGAATGTTATAATGTTCCAATAAACAAATCTAGTTCAAATAAAATGCTTGGTTATCTATTATTAAAACTGAAAGGGGCACAAACTATTAATCCAACTTCCAATGATCGAGTAAGTAATAGTTATTTCAGATTTCCATACATGAGCATATATTATTATTTAATAATTTGTTGCTCATTAAATACCTATAGTTTTAAAATTAATTTTTGAATTTTAGATTGAAAATAAATCATACAAATTAATAGGATCAAAAACTGGTAGTTATCATTTAAATTTATCATTGCGAATTGAAGATAACAATGTTAAATCTGTTGACAAATTTACAGAAAAAAATAAAAATTTAAATCCAAAAATTAAAGAGAATTTAAAAAAAGGTACCAACTATCAATTTAAAAACAAAAAATTATATTTATTGTTTGACAGTTATTGTCATATATAGCATTTTAAAATAATATTACAACAAAATTCTAGACATTCCAAATATCCGTATAAGTAGAAACTTATCATCACTACTCCTATTATAACTTTTTTTTTTTGTGCCGGTATCGTAACACTGTAGAGGAGAACTTTTCCTTGTCGGTAATACTACTATAGTATTTAACTATAATGATAAGTAAATGCTTACATAGATTTAATATATTATAAAATATTGATATTTAACACCGTTTAAAAAATGGTCTGGCATTACAACATCTATCTATACCTAATTCACAAATACAATAAATTAATTTTATCAGTATTAATATATTAAATGCCATTATATCTTTATTATTTATTTTTTTTTCAGAAGAAGAAATTAAATATCATGATAAAAACGTTGAATTAGTTTTACCAAAATCTGTTAATATYCCCTCAGAACAAATAAGTTTACCAGAAAATGATAATCCCCAGTAAGTTTTAAATATAATTATCAAGATATATAAATTATTATATAATATTTTGCTTTAGAAAGATATTCACGAATATTCAACAAAAATTAATTGAAGAATTAGAAGACTGGAAAGACAAACAAATGCTATTATTTAATGAAAAGGTTATTATTTTATTGATAYGGTCCATTATATTTACATTACAATGTATTTTATTTTGTTTAATTTACACAGATGAAAACAAAAGAAGAACAACTATTAAAAGATTTTAATGATAAATGGTCAGATAATAGAAAACAATCCGAAGAGAAATTAACCAACGCTATGTTAAAGTGTAAAGAATTAGCTAAAGATTTGGAAAAAAAGTCTGATATGTTAAAAGAAAGGGATACTATAGTTACAGCCAAAGAATTAGAAGTATGATAATTGATTTCATATTTTTAATTTTTTTTAAATAAAGTTAATTGAGGTTTTGTAGTTCACAAGCCAAAAAGATAATATGGAAAATAAATACATTGATTTAGTTCAAAATATGCAATTTTCAAATACGCAAACAATTAATGAGTTGAATAATAAATTTTCTGAAGTGGAGGCTAATTTGCATACATCAGAAAAACTTAATATTTTATTAAGAAAAGAAAATGAAGCGTTGAAATATGATATCGATACCAATTGTGGCTTTCAAGTACAAGAATTAGAAAAAAAAATTGTATGTTTATCAAATTATATAAGTTATAAAGATAATTTTTTATATATTTTTTAAATAGTATAAATAAGTATAATTTTTAGGCAAATTTAGAGTATAAAATTGAAGAAGCTAATAAGTCTCGTGTGTTCTTCAAAGAGCGATGGATAGCATCTGTAAAAAAAATTAACCAAATGTACACCAAATTTCACGAAACTAAAATCAATAAGCATTTATTTAACAATAAACAAAAGTAAATAATTAAAATATTTTTGATATTTTAAAAATTAACATAATATTGACTTCCACGCAATACTGTCGCGTCTACATATAGAATATAGTAGGTATAAAAATGCAGAGGCGCTCGTAGATAGGGGCCAGTGGGTGCCATTGTACCTGAACATACTCATCCACTGACACACCGTTTGTCTGTATAGTGTATTTTGGACTAAATGTCAAACGTTTATCATTTCTATAATACTATTTGATTCATATTTCATGCATATTAATATATTATGAATAATACCTATATGTTTAAAATTGTATTATAATTTGTATACTTGTATTATAAATTTTTTCGTATTACATTTGGAGTTGGCCCGTATAAATCTGGAATTTAAATACCTGGACCACACAATTCTGGACAATACAAATATRGATAGAACATATTTGGACTGCACAAATCTGGAATGTACAAATCAGGAACTCCAAATTTA